AAGCTTGCAAGACAACTTGGTTGGCATTGCCTTTTCAGCGTGAGAAATACATGGTGTGGCGTGTGAGCGTGTGAACTGGTTGAATTGCGTGTGTCTCACGGCCAATGCGTGAGACTTGAGGACCCTGTTGTAATTAGTTACTTTCCACCTCTGCATGTCTCTCTGCTAGCATTGCATGTACAAAAACACATTTTATCCCCCCACACCATATCAACCCTCCCATTTAGTGTTCCTTTATTAAATGTTTTTACAAAGCATTTATACATCACTTTCCCTTCGACTTCATTAAGATCTAAATTTTGCAGTCCGTTGAGGTCCAACAAAGGTCCTGACATTTCTTTTAAGTCTGGTGTAATCCCAAGTTTTGGAAATGGGTCTCTTATATCCAGAGTCACTTTTCCATTCTTAAAATCTTTTATTAAATTCAATTCTTCATTGGTTAGACTTGTTTTCCACATAACCACTATAGTTAGTGTGTGGCGCCTTGACCTCTGACCCAACAAAGTAGCTACTGCATTTATATCACTCATCTCAGGTCCAGCCACATTAACTATGTGCCTCAATGCCACAGTTTTAGAAGCACACAGTATCTGCGTAAGTCCCAGAACATTCTCACTTGCAATATCCATGCGAGCTCCTTTGATTAGAGGTTCTTCAAGTAACCAGTACAAAGAATTGGTCTCCTCCAGTCTGCAAACATTTAAAAGTCCCCACACTTTGAAAAGTTCACAATAAAATCGAGGTACTCCAGCCAATCGTAATTGTTTAGCATCCATTAGAAACAGCGCAGCATCCAGTCCAAGCGCATCTACTGTGTATAACATCGTTTTTGCCATCTTCCTCCACACCAGATCAACAGGACCAGTCAGAAATTTCTGAATAAACTGCAGACGAAAGGTAGCATGTCTGCTTGGTTAGTGCACCAAGCCTTGTCCTCCCTCTTCTTTCGGAAGAAAGAGCACACTTTGAGGAACCCAGTGTAAACAGTCCCAAAATAAATCACTAGAATGACCTGTAATCGGGACAGTAGTCCAGCAGGTGGATCTACACAAGATAATCTATGCCACAATGTAGAGGCAACCAAGTTGTTGATTATGAAATCTCTTCCTCTAAATGACAATTGTCAGTGAACCCATTTCCATTTTGTTCTATTTTTTTTAATCACCCCTTCCCATTTCTTTTGTTGGGTATTTACAGTTTTTCTCGATTGTTTAAACACTATAACCAGGCTTTTGAACTAAAATTTCAAAACTATAATGCCATTTATCAAAAAGCACACCCATTTCACTGAACTATGAACACTATTCCCCTGTTTTGACACATTAGTCAGATTTGTTGAACTGTCACAGCAAAACTCTACACACAAATCCCTTCATTTCTCATTGCCTACACCACGTGGTCATTTAGAAAGCACTAGCATTCAATATTGTTCACTCAAGTCAGCACAGCTTCAGCTCAGTTAGCACACAATTACCCAGGTGAAAACACTCAGAGTCAAAATTGAACACACATCAGTCATATCCTTCAATAGATAGATAAAAGGTTATACAATATTTTATAAAAGATAAAAATCAGTTTACTGAGTTTTGGAACAATGGATCCACAGAGAAATTAAGCAATAGGTCGAGGAGGGAGAGGAGGAGGAGGAGGAAGAGGAGGAGGAAGAGGAGGAGGAGGAAGAGGAGAAGGGGGAGGAGAAGGAGGAGGAAGGGCAAGGGCAAGAAGACAAGCAGTCTCAGATGAAATTCAAGCCACTTTAGTTGGCCATGTCCTTGTCCATGGTATGACTATGAGGGAGGCTGGGCAAAGAGTACAGCCAAATTTGAGTCGCTTCACCGTTGCCTCCATCATCAGAACCTTCAGGGAGGTGTGGTGGCAAACAAATTTCTATCACTGAATAAGAGACAAACATTTCCAATTGTCTTTGATGAGGTTTATGTTCTTGCAAGAAAAGGCCAGCAGTCGTACAGTCACACAGAGTGGCTGCAGAGTGTGACAGTGAAGGGAGGGTATCCTTTCTCCTTTATAGTCTTGACTCACAGAATGTTATCTTTCTAGGCCAATGATGGTATTTCAACCATATGTGGAACATTCTTAGACTTGTTCATCATATTGTATCCTTGAGTGGAGGCATGTACCAACACTCTTGTTGGTACATGGGGGGGAGGGATGGAGGGGGGACCACAAGCAACATGACTTACCAGTTTTGGAAATGTAGTTTTGAATTTATAGCACCAGTGTGTAAGACTATGTTGTAGTGTGTGTATTTTTGAGGGCTTGTGTGTCCTGTCTGAGGGCAAAAGTTTGGTTTTTCAGCAAGAGTGAATGGTTTTGAGTGTAGAGCTTCATTTTGACCTGAAAATAGGATGTTTGGGGAATTGGGTGAGACGTTATGGATTTGTGTTTACTGTTTTGAGAATACGAGGCATAGTTTCAAGAAATGTGTTTAAGCAATCGAGAAAAACTGTAATATCCAGTTGTTCAGTTTACTATTTGCCACAACTTAAGGCTATTTTCGATTCTCTGGTTATTTTAAATTTTTACCTTCAAACAAATCTGTATTTTAATTAGACGCGTTCCTACTTCATCCTACTAAAAGTATTGCAATTTAAATTTTAAAGCACTTAAGTGTAGCGCTCTCCAAACAGCTAGTTTCGATTTGTCCCATTTTCTGATTATTTGCTTTTGCTGTGCTAATTGCTGGGCCGAGACAGCAACTGTAAAACAGATATAAACTAGAGGAGACTTAGGACAAGGCCGGGACACCCTGTCTCTGCCCAACCAGCTGGATGTAAACTAATCTGGCTTCAAGAAAGGGCATTCAACCGAGTCTGCATTACTGTCGGTCACAGAAGCCCTGCGGATCGCAAAAGCTGCTTACAAATCATCAGTTCTCATTCTCCTGGATCTGTCTGCTGCCTTCGACACTGTGAACCATCAGATCCTTCTGTCCACCCTCTCATCACTGGGCATCACAGGTACTCCTCTCCACTGGTTTGAGTCCTATCTCACAGGTAGGTCCTTCAGGGTCGCATGGAGAGGTGAGGTATCCAAAGCACATCAACTGACCACAGGGGTTCCCCAGGGTTCAGTTCTTGGACCGCTCCTCTTCTCCATTTACACCACATCACTGGGACCCATCATACAGGCACATGGTTTCTCTTACCATTGCTATGCTGATGACACCCAGCTCTACCTCTCATTACAACCAGATGATCCCACAGTAGCTGCACGGATCTCAACCTGTCTGGCGGACATCTCGGCATGGATGAAGGAACATCACCTGCAGCTCAACCTGGCAAAGACTGAGCTTCTCATCCTCCCTGCCAATCTGTCTCTACAGCACGACTTCACTATCCAGCTAGATTCTTCCTCATTCACCCCATCAAGGTCAGTCAGAAATCTAGGAGTAATCTTTGATGATCAGCTGACCTTCACAGACCACATCACAAAGACAGCTCGATCATGCAGGTTTGCACTGCACAACATCAGGAAGATCAGGCCTTTCCTAACTGAGCATGCAACACAACTTCTCGTCCAGGCCCTGGTTATCTCTAGGCTTGATTACTGCAATGGTCTTCTGGCTGGACTTCCATCATGTGCAACTAAACCTCTACAAATGATCCAGAACGCTGCAGCTCGTCTTGTCTTCAACGAGCCCAAAAGGGCCCACGTCACTCCTCTGTTCATCTCTCTGCACTGGCTACCACTCGCTGCTCGCATCAAGTTCAAGGCGTTGACACTTGCTTACAGATCGACCACAGGCTCAGCTCCGTCCTACTTCCACTCACTACTACGCGTCTACGTCCCTACCAGAAGCCTACGATCGGTCAATGAGCGACGGCTCGTGGTCCCATCACAGAGAGCCTCAAAATCACTCTCCAGACCATTCTCATTCACGGTTCGCTACTGGTGGAATGATCTCCCACCCTCATCCGGAAAGCAGAATCCCTGACAGCATTCAAAACACAGCTGAACACTCATCTCTTCCGTGAGCACTTAACCTTATAAAAAAAAAAAATAATAACAATTATTTGTTTTTCCTTTAATCCTCCCTTGTCTGGCTTATGCTACTCTGAGCAGAGCCTGAACTTTTTATTTTGAGAAATTCTTGTGTTGTTTTTGCCTCTTCATGGTGACTCGCTTGCTTTAGTCCTCAGTTGTAAGTCGCTTTGGATAAAAGCTAAATGACTAAATGTAAATATAAATGTATTAAGTTGCTGTAAAACGTTTCATTTTCATATAGCTAGTCATGCTTCATTATGCACACATACTTCTCAAGATTTGTTAAACATCGTTTTCTTGAAAGTATTGCTTTAACTGTGTACAAACATCTGATAAACGTTTGTTTAAAAAAAAGTGCGGATTCACTCGTAACCAAATGCAACATAGATGTTTCCTAAATGTGTGTTTAATATTTGACAGGGGACATTTTACAGACGTACAGTATGGCAGATGAAACTCTTAAAAATACATCTTCCAGATGAAAACACACCAGATAGCCGTGTGTGTGTTGTGTGTGTGCTATAATGTCATCCATTTGGCCTAAGCTTTTGTCAACACTTTACATTACACACACAATTGCTTATTCTACTAATTTACATAAAGATTTACATAACTGAAGTTAATTTTTAGATTGTATTTGTCTATGATTTATAGCCTTTTGATCACATAAATGACAGATCTAACAAAATCTAGTTTGGATGTAACAGGGACCGATGAACACACACAGCCTTAGATGCTGCAATCAAAGGTTTTGAGTAAGTATACTATAGAAAATAATTATAAAAAAAAAACATATATTTGTTGTCATAATGTTGTCATTTTAACGAGAGTTATTAGAGCAGTTTTTGATTCTTGATTTCTGATCACTTGTTGCAGAGCTTGTGTGGCGGAGCCGAGTCTGCAAGGCAAAGTAGCGGACACACGTGTACAAAAATAAAAATACTAATAAATAAATATAATTAATGATTTTGTTACTACTAATGCAACAGTTAATGACTATGTAAATTGAGTAATTAAAATGAGTTACTACCGATAAATGTAGATTTTTAAAGTCTTTAGAAACTTTGAACTAGACATTGATATTGTGTAGTTTGTGCTCCTCCATCAGCAGCTGCAGTTTCTCTCAGCTGTATCAGTGCAGTCACTGTGACGTCTGACTGACAGAGGTTTTTGTACGACTCTTTATCACTGTGTGAACACATACTGACTGGGAATGTGTAAACTCTGACAGTAATAATCTCCTGTATCTTCAGTCTGGACTCCACTGATGGTCAGAGTAAAATCACTGCCAGATCCACTGCCACTGAATCTAGAGTGAGTTCCAGTATAACGGTTTGATGTAATATATATGAGGAGTTTAGGAGCTTCTCCAGGTTTCTGTGAGTACCAGTGTAAGTAACTACCACCATGCACATCACTGCTGGTTTTACAGTTTATTCTGACTTCTTCTCCTGGTTGAACTGCTGATATTGATGGACTCTGAGTTACAGTATACTGTCCTCTACACTCTGAAAGAAAACACAAACAAAAATGAAAATTATATATATGATGATATACAGTATATGATAAATATATATATTACATTTTAAGAGAATTCATATTTATTGTAAAAACTGTATTACACAAACCTTGAATAAACAGTGCAATGGTCCAGATGAAGATGATGATGTTGTTCATAGTTGTAGTTTAGTCTTGTGTGATGATGAAGAGTGTGTTGTGTTCTGCTCTCAGTCATGAAGTGTTAAACTCACAGCACTATAAACACTCTCAGAGCACTGAAGCATGTGCTGACAATGCAAAGAAGTGGGCAGGATTTACAACAGCTTGTGCTGAGAACAAACTCATATACACTAGAGTTACACAATCATGACTTTATTTAGTATGTTTATTGTGACTCCTGAGACACTGAGGATGTGCAGATGAACGTCCATCTCTGTGTCCATATTCAGTCATGTGACCATCATCACTGCTACACTTCCACTAGATGAAGCGCCATCACTAAAGTAAGATCATGAATCATGAGTGTGTTCAGAAAGTATCAGGACTGATTGTGAATCTCTAATCAGAGTTCATGGTGTCACTCCATCTATCATGAAGCCTCATGTGTGTCTGAAATCATCAGATGGAGAAGAAACAGGCTGTTAAAGATGGACACATATTAGAGCTTGTTCACGTTTCATGATCTTGTGTGGAGATTCAGCAGAGCCGATCCGCCCTATACGCTCACTACGCAAGCTGCGTAGGGCCCCGCAAATTACTCAAGGCCCCGCCTCCCCCTCGTGTCATAGCGCGTCAATTAATGTTTACAACATCAATGACAAAATGAAGCGAAACTATCCTTCTGGTCACAAAAAGAGGGGGGAAAAACATGAGTGAATTGCGGAAACAACAATCAGGTAAACTTGTGTTCTCTCCTCTCCAAGTTTGATGTCAGCAAAGTAAAGTTAAGTTTATGTGCATTTCTATTGTGTTTTTTAAAGTGCAACGGCTCGGAAAAGATAACCGCGTCGCGTGTGTTATCATACGTTCATATGCGCGTGCACGAAATGAAACGCGCATTTTTCAAGCAGAAATATATGTGGAGAGAGACCAGACATACTGTAGCCTACAATATTTGGGCCTGAATGATGACACTCCTCATCAAATTACACATTATACATACTTTTAAAACAAGACACTGATTATCTAGTCTCAGTCAATGTGTAGTTAAAAACTCTAAACAACTGCTTATGCAAGATGGAAAGCAATGTATTGACAATTTGACATTGATTGACTATTGATTTATAGGCTATATTGAATTTAAAATGTTGATTAGCTGGACATACTGGTCAATATGGATGCACATCCCTCAGTAAATAATAACCATAAATCAAGAATTGCTTCAACATGCATACTAAAACAAACCTTTAACATATGGCAAGCCATTTTAGCTTTTATTCATTCACAGTTTATGCATTTTTTATATCAAGAATTCATTTTTTTTTTTTACTATTTGCAATGTGAATTCTTGATTATTTTTTACTAGTAGGGCCCCTTAGTTACATTTTTATCTACCAATGTCTATTTCTGATATCAGGAATTACATGTTCACTTGTACAAAAGTTAATTCTTGATTTCAATGATGTCATCACTCACAGGGATTATTGATATCTGCAACACAATATTCACTTGTTATCTTAATATTCTATAGAAAATACTCTATTCAATAAATATCATTCTGTTCTATATTATTGTACTTATTCTTTGACTGTTTGGTTTAAAGGAGGGAGGATTGTATTGGGAGAACTGAAGTGTCAGGTGTGACTGTGGCAATGGCAAATGGTTTACATAGCTCACGGCTTCACGGGTCAGGTAGAGGGCCCCTTAGCAGAATTTAGCTTAGGGCCCCAGGGAGGTCAGGATCGGCACTGAGATTCAGAACCAGTCCAGATACTTTTATAACACACCTTGAATATGAAAACATGCTTGACTGTGTAGAACATGCAAAACACCTTTTATATCTTCATTGTCACACTTTCTATTGACTTTGGCTCTAATATTCAATAAAGTCATTATTTGAACAGATTCTCACTGAAGATTGAAGTGTGAAGCTGCAGGTTTTTCTGTCAATCATGATGATTGATCTGCATATGAAGAACAGAAGCATCATTATGAGAAACTCCACAACATCATCCATGATCAAAGAGGTCAAAGGTCACCTCAGAGGTCACAGCTCATCACATATATTTCTTTAAACAGTGTTATATCAGAAAGCATTTAGTCAAATCTGAATGAGTGAGTGTTGAGAAGAGCTGAGGATCTTCTAATATCAGTGTGTTGAAGTGTTGTTTCTCTCTCTCTGCTGGAGTGTGTGTTCACTCGAGTGGAATAGAGGTTTTTGTACGAGCGTTTCATTAGATTGTATCACTGTGGTGGACATTCGGTGGAGGAACTAAACTGGTGATCGGTAAGTCTGTTTGATTTAATCACCTAATAAAAAATACAATTTAGATTTCAGAAAGTGTTTTACAGTTGAAACAAGAAGAACAATTTTTTATAAAAATGATTATTATATATTGTGGCAAACTTTACTTGAAGCCTTTATGTATGATACATTATAAAGTTATCAATAATGTAGATTTTAATGCCTTATATATTTTAATAAATAACTGTAACCAAAGTTACAAATGCATTATAATATTTGCAAACTCCTTGTTTCGTCCGAAATTATTTGTTTATCGTGTGTTTAGTGTATTGTACATTTTTGAAGGTGTAACAATGAATATATAATATTATGTGTTAAAACGGCGGTTACAATTATTGATGAGATCATACATGCATTATAATGTGTTTTAACGAGGCTTAATTTATGTATTAAAAATACTTTTAAAATGCAATATATATAAAGCCTTTAGGAAAGGTTTTACTAATATTGTTGTAGAATTATTTCATCTAAAACAATGATATTGTCATGTTTATACATTCAGAAGAACGGCATTATTTCTTTCAACAACAAAAAAATTCTAACATATTTCCATAATGAGTTTATTCAGTTTATTACGTTTGTTTTGCCTTCATTTATTTCTACACGGAGTTCATATTTAGTTCATCTTTTATTGTAGAAATCATACATGTAAAAAGAGATTTGACATCAGAATGTAAATGTTGCTACTTTCTGTAGTTCAGTCAATGATACTGAATCTCTTTTGCTCATGTTGTGCTTATAATTCAGTGCTTTATAATACAAACACAATTTATTTATGTGTTTTAACATAATTAAATTGTGTTTTAATTCTGTTTGAAATTGAGTTACATTTCAAGTTGATTATCTCAAAATTGAAGATTTTTATGTTCAGAGTTAATAATTGCTGGAATTAAAGCATTCTGTGTATTACAATGTTTAGTTTGATTCATGAGGTTTGATTTAAATGAATATAGTGATTGTGTAGTTTGTATATTGTATATATATATATTGACTGTAGTGAAGCTGAATGGCATGAAGGATCAGATGCTGGAGATTTGTCCTGCATTCCTCATGTCTGCTGCTTCAGTCCTGTTGAAATGCTGTGAATGTGCAGTGCAGTGTGTTGTGTGTGTGTTTGTGAATGTGTTGTGTTTGTCTCCTGCAGCTGGTCCCACAGTGAAGCCCTCAGTGTCTCTGCTGCCGCCCTCTTCTCTGCAGATCTCTGGAGACTCAGCCGCACTGCTCTGCCTGCTCAGCTCTTACTCTCCACAGGGGGCGCTGGTGAGCTGGACACTGGACGGGTCAGAGGTCACCGAGGGGGTTCTGACCAGCGCAGAGAGCCAGCAGGACGGCCGCTACAGCCGCAGTAGCGTCCTGACCCTCAGCAAAGCACGCTGGGAAGAGGGAGAGCTGTACGTCTGCAGAGTAACACATGATGGAGCTCCTCATGAGGTCTCGTTCCACAAGAGCTCTGAGTGCTGATGTTTCTCTCCTGAAGATGAGCCGTATCTGAGTGTCCTGTGTCAGGCAGGATTCACATGAGTCTAGTGCTGCAGCTGTAGTGCTTTACAACTCCATACTGAAAGAGTGTGTGTGTGTGTGTGATCTTTCAATCTGTGTGTGTGTGTGTGTGTGTGTGTGTGATCTTTCAATCTGCTGTGTTTGCTGCAACATTCAATAAAGCTTCTCAACAAGTTCACTTTGTGTCTGACAACATCATTCAACTAACAGATGAAGATGCAGGAGCTTTTCAGAAGGTTGGTGTCGCAGTAAATGTCAAATAAAGCTCTTGGGGTTTGAACATGGTCTCTGGAGACAGAGCTGCTCTATTCTGAGAGATCACAATCACTCCACCCTGACAATGCAAATGGGCTTTTCAGTCTCACTCTCTGATTGGTTACATGATCTGGACTGGAACACAACAGTTTCACTTCTGCAAAAGAAGGTGCTGGTATTTAAATAATAAAAATATAACAAAAATAATTTAAGTGACTGAATGCAGTGTGTTCAGTTTGATTGACAGGGATCATATATTACACCTAAAACATGATGATCATATTAAAACACTGACTCATTCTCTTCATAAACACAAGATTGATGTTGATTGTAATTGACCCTTCGCTAAGCCCCGCCCTCCTTAGTTACTGTTGCTACGCCTGTCAAGCTTTCACGGCTGCCACGTCTATTACAGTGTGAATGCACCGGTGTCAGACATTCCCAAGGAGATATTTAGTCATTTTTGGCGAACAAGTGAAATATCTGAGAGAGCAAGACAAAAGGGACAGCAGTATGCATTCGAGGGATATATCCACGACATAATATGCAACCGATTAGAGAATAATTTCATCAAAATTGAAGCTAAAGCCTATAACGTTAGGCCCCAGCGCAAGCAGCAGCCGCCTCCTTAGCAGACCATTCAAATGGGAAACACACAAATTGAAAAGATATGTTCATGCACAGCAGAGTAAGTGAAATGTAAAAATAATCTAATATCAAATCAATTTAAATCAAACAGTTTATCCATCAATCTAACACCGGGAGAGCCGCGATCGGATTGGGTCAAAGATACAGGGGTAAAGTTAACGTTAGTAGGCCGTCCGCCGTCGATTAACACAATGCTGAAACATATTTTAAAGTATGTCAGTGAGCCTCCGTCTTGCCTTTAATCGTCTTATTTTACGTTCAAATATATGCATTAGGAACAAAGAACCGCCATTATTTCCAAGCAATAGGCGTTTTTTTTTTTGTTAATCCTGTCGACTGTCCCCCCCTGGTTTCACTATCTTCAGAGCCGACAGGTCAGTCAAACTTTCTCACAAATCTAAGGGAGGGGGTATTTCTCTCATGATAAATCAGCGCTGGTGTAACAACTCAACAATCCTTCATCGTCACTGCTCTCCTGATCTTGAATTTATCAGTTTGAAATGCAGACCATATTACCTTCCGAGAGAATTCACTTCGATTATACTAATCGGCGTATATGTTCCACCACAAGCCAACGCTAATATAGCTATTAGCGATCTCTCCCAACACATTTCGTCTGTTGAAAACTCCAACCCTGATACGTCTGTCATCGTGTTAGGGGATTTCAACCACACAAACCTGTCATCCGAACTCCCAAACTACAAGCAACAAGTCACCTGCCACAGCAGAGAAAGCAAAACACTGGATCACTGCTACATCTCAGTTTCAGATGCTTACCGGGCATTCCCGGAGGCTCCACTTGGGAGGTCTGACCATGCCGTGTTGCTTCTCATTCCGAAGTACAGACAAAAACTTAAATCCATTAAGAAAACATCCAAATCTGTCAGGTCTTGGTCCACAGATGCCATTGAAAAGCTCCGAGGGTGTTTCGATTGCACTGATTGGGACATATTCAGTGCAGCTTGTGACTCCCTCGACGAACTCACTGATACTGTGACGTCATATGTCAAGTTCTGCGAGGAAATGTGCATCCCCACCAAAACAGTGACTTTTTATGGTAATAAAAAACCATGGTTCTCCACAGAATTACATCTCTTATGTAAGGAAAAAAACTGGGCATACAAAAATGGAGACAAGAGTCAATATAGAACTGCCAAATATAAACTACGCGCTGCAGTAAGGAGAGCAAAGCGCAATTATGGAACGAAACTGGAGCAACAATTTTCATCAAGCAGCTCGAGATTAATTTGGAAAAATCTTAAGGACATGACGGATTACAAAAAATGCCCCAGCACCGCTCTTAATAATGATCCAGGGTTCCCAGACATATTAAATAACTTTTATGCAAGATTTGGGAAACCTACCCCATCAGTCATTCCCCCCGACCCCATTCCAACACCACCCTTCTGCATCCAGGAGGATGAGGTGAGAACAACATTTAGGAGGCTCAAGATCGGGAAAGCAGCAGGGCCGGATGAGATTAGTCCTGCTTTACTTAGTCATTGTGCAGTGCAATTGGCGCCTGTATTTTCCACCATTTTTAACATCTCATTAAGCCAATGTTCAGTCCCACAATGCTTTAAGAGCTCCATCATTATTCCTGTGCCAAAGTCCTCAAAGACCACTTGCCTTAATGACTTCAGACCAATTGCCCTAACATCGGTGGTAATGAAGGCATTTGAACGGATTATTCTGGCATACCTGAAATCTTGCACTTCCTTGCTGATGGGCCCATATCAATTTGCCTACCAAGCCAACCGGTCCGTGGAGGATGCAATCAGCATAACACTCCATCATACTTTGCAACATCTTGAATCACCAAACACCTACACACGCATCCTTTTCATAGACTTTAGTTCCGCATTTAATACTATCAGCCCACCTAAACTCTTCACAACACTCCTGGACATGAACATTGACCCAGCCATCTACCACTGGATAAGGAGCTTCTTGTGGAATAGATCACAGAGGGTGAGGGTTAATAACATAACCTCACACCCTCTCTCCCTTAGTACAGGAGCTCCTCAGGGCTGTGTTCTCTCCCCTTGGCTCTTTTCCCTTTACACAGCATATTTTGCATCCATGGACACTTCAGTTAAAACAATAAAGTATGCGGACGACACAACCATTGTAGGCCTCATCTCAGAAAACGATGAAACCCAGTACCGCATGGTGGTGGATCAAGCGGTAAACTGGTGTTCGAATAATGACCTTCAGCTTAACACTGCCAAAACCCAGGAACTAATTATTGATTTTAGACGTAGGCCATCTCCCAAAACACCCATACATATAAACGGTAACCCAATCACCATCACTGATTCCTTTAAATTCCTAGGAACACACATTAGCAATAACCTGAAGTGGACAACTAATACTAAACACATCATTGCAAAAGCTCAGCAAAGGCTTTATTTCCTCAGGCAGCTTAAAAAATACCGGATCAAACATCAGCTCCTTGTTCTGTTCTACTCTGCTATTATTGAATCTATCATTACATTATCAATGACAGTATGGTATGGGAGCACAGACCGCCAAACAAAGAAAAAATTACAGCAGATCGTCAACAAAGCATCCAAGATTATAGGAAAACCATTGCCCTCAGTCGATTGCCTTTATACACATCGGACTGTTAAGCGAGCAAAGAAAATCATCTCCGATCCCTCACACCCTGCTCATCACCTCTTCCAGCTCCTTCCTTCAGGGAGGCGCTACAGGTCATTCTCTACCAAGACCAAACGTTTCACAAACAGTTTTTTTCCCATAGCCATCAGGACTCTGAACTCTTCTCTCTAGTTTAGTAGTCTATACACTATGCACGGTCACTTAACCACTGTATCTTGCACTGTCACTTGTTGTGAAATGTATTGTCGATCTGTTGTTTGTAATGCATACACATGATGTAGTGCTTAAACATACTGTACCGAAAACGAATTCCACCGGCATTGTCGTGTGGCTAAATAAACAATCTATCTATCTATCTATTTAGTTGTGAATGGGTCTCCCACACTGCTTGATCCACACCCGGGATTTCTCCCCTTTGGCTTTTAGGTTTCGGGAAGAGAAAAAATGCCACCCCACCGTCCAAACTTTTAGAATACCGGGTATCAGATTTGCACAATCCATACGCACAACGCGTCGGCATGTTTGCCTCGCTCGAAAGCTTGACAGACCTCCCGCGCCTAGTTACGGTTGCTAAGCCACGATTGGCCAGTGGCGGTTTTCGGGCGTGGCTTAGCGAAGGGTCAATTATATAGTGTTATTAGTGTTTGAAATACAATCATAAATCATTCTTCAAACCTGGACTAAACACTGCCAGAGTCAAGAGGAAGATGATGCTGAAAGTCATGTTTGTTGGTTGATGAAGAAGAGCTCTTGATCATGTCATGTTCAGTTCATAGAGCTATAAACACATGCAGAGTGAAGCATGTGCTGATCATATAAAACACCCTCTGAATGCAAAAGCTGCTGTAGACTGTGAGCTCACGACGAGACCGAAGAGAGATCAGGACGAGATACAGACTCACCTCAGACTCATCAGAGTCAAACAGCTTTACTGACAGGGTTAAAGAACGGCTTTACATGGCCGAAGCACAGTCACATTAAATATACTCACATACACACTTACACACAAATACACACAGGTAAAAAAATATATATACGGAGTTCAGTCATGAAACTCTAGATCAGTGTTTCCCCAACAATGTCTCTCTAATCTGACACACATTTCAGGTGTTGGAGTCTCTACTGATGAGCTGATGAGATGAATCATGTGTGTTTGATTAGAGAGACTTACAGAATATGCACAGTTGGCGTCTCCAGGACTGGCACAGGCTTTTACTGTCACGGTTCATTGATCCGTGAGTTCATTTTGGATTTCTGTTGGTGTGTTTGTAGGTGTGGTTCGGTGTGTGTTAACGCTTGTTGGTTGCCAGGTAACCAGCTGATTACTCAATCAGGCTTCAGCTGCAACTAATGTTTACTGCTTGTCAGCTTGTATAACCATTTTTCTTTTCTCCTCTGTTTGGCGTGTATGTGGTGTGTGTGGAGAAAGTGTTTATTTTAGGAGCTGCGGCCTTTTTGGCTTAGGGAATTGATCGTTCCTCTCCCTGTTTTGGTGGTGGTGTCTACTCCGTGTGCCGTGACTGATCACTTCACTGGGGCTCTTGTGTTGTGAGTGTGAGTGTGAGTGTGTAGTGTGTAGTGTGTGTGAGGGGGACTTAATGTATCTTTTGCGAGGGCATCTCTAACTAGAGGCCGCAGCTTTCTTTCTGTGAA